GGCCAAGCACGGTGGCTCATACCTATAATCCCAGCACTTTAGAAGCTGAGGCAGGAGGATTGCTTGAGACTGGGAGTTCAAAACCAGCCTGAACAAGAAGCGAGACCCTGTCTCCACAAAAATGAACCTGGTGTGGTGGCGCGTGCCTGTAGTCCCAGCTACTTGGGAGGCTTGAGAATCGCTCAAGCCCGGGAATTTGAGGTTGCAGTGAGCTATTATTATGACACCACTGCACTCTAACCTGGGCAACAGAATGAGACTCTGCCTCGAAAAAAGAACCTTTCAAAAGTATAGTTCTACTTACCTCCCTGTGCTTTTTGCTGTTATTGTCACATATATCTGCTCATATTAAAAATAATTTTTGCTTTAAGCAGACATGGCTTTTAAAATTAAGAAAAGACATAGCATACATGTCTTATATTTACCATATCTGGTGATGTTCATTCCTTCCTGTAGATCAGAGTTTCTATCTAGCGTCATTTCCCCTTTGCCCGAAGTTCCTTTAGCTTTTCTTATAGTAAATGTCTGTTGATTGTGAATTATCTTAGTCTTTGTTTATATGAAAATGTCTTTGTTACCTTCATTTTTGAAGGGTAAGTGTCTTGGAGGTAACATGGCTGACAGGTTTTTTTCTTTCATTACTTTAAAGGAGTCATTCTCTTGTTTTCTGCTCTCCGTTGTTTCTGATGAGAATTTGACCAAAATTTGTATCATTCTTCCCCTATATGTATCTTTTCTTTTGGACTGGTTTTGAATTTTTCTCTTTATCTTTGAATTTCAGTAATTTGCCCAGGTGTTTGTATTTGTCCTGCCTTGGATTTACTAAGCTTCTTAGGTCTATAAGTTTGTTTTTCACTCAATTTGGGAAATTTTGTCTATTATTTATTTAAATGCTTTTCTGACTTATTATCTCTCCCCTATTCTTCTGGGACTCCAATTACTTATAAATTGTTTGGCATTTATTTTCTTTAATCCCTTTTCTCTGTTGTTCAGACTGGATAATTACTACTGATCTGTTTTCAGATTTGGTGATTCTTATATGGTATCCAATGTGCTGTTAAAACCATGTTGTGATTTTATTTTTCAATTATTGTACTTTTTGTACTTCTCAGTTCTAAAATTTCCATTTGTTCTTTTTTTGTTGGTGGTGGTTTTTTGGGTTTTTTTGTTTGTTTGCTTTTTGGGGGTTTTTTTGAGACAGAGTCTTACTCTGTTGCTCAGCCTGGAGTGCAATGGTGTGATCATAGCTCACTGCAACCTCTAACTACTGTGCTCAAGTGATCCTACCTCCTGAGCCTCCTGAGTAGCCAGGACTACAAACATGGACCATCATGCCCAGCTAATTTTTTTTGATTGTTTTTGTAGAGATGGGGTCTCACTGTGTTGCCCAGGCTGGTCTCAAACTCCTGGCCTCAAGTGATCCTCCCACCTTTGCCTCCCAAAGTGCTGGGATTACAAGCATGAGCCACCATGTCTGGCCATTTATTCTTTTTTAGTTATCTATGTTAAGATCTGTTGTCTGTTTATTCATTTGGCACTGTTTTCCTTTAGGTTCTTATACATATCTCTAATAGCTGCTTGTTGCCTTTATTCATTAATTCCAATATTTGGTTCATTTTGTAGTGAAGGTCTATTGACTGCTTTTTTTTCCTTTGGCTACAGGTCATAGTTCCTTGCTTCTTCTATGCCTAATAATTTTTTATTACATAGTAGACATAGTAAATGGTGAATTGTAGAGATTCACCACAAAAATCTGTGCTCAGTTCTTTCCTCTTTTAGATGCTATTGTTGTCAAGCCTTCTGGAGTCAGTGGTCAGCCAAGAATTTGGTCAGAGTTTATCCTCAGATTTGGATGTTTTGTCGTCCGTGGTTCTCTTCTTCTCCTTTTTACTCCTAATTTTACAGCTGCTCTGCCAGCTGCAGTCTATGTTCTCTGAAACCTCAAACCAGTAAGACTGTGGCTTTTTGCCATCTTATGATGCATGGATTGAGAAGTACCCTCAGGCACAAACAAATCTCATCTACTGCTGTTCTTATCATTTTAGGGGTGATTTCTCTTCAATTGCTTTAGAGGAACTTTCAAATAGTTGTTTCTTTTTTTTTTTTTTTTTTTTTTTTTTTTTTTGCCCGGGCTAGAGTGCCATGGCGTCAGCCTAGCTCACAGCAACCTCAAACTCCTGGGCTCAAGGGATCCTTCTGCCTCAGCCTCCCAAGTAGCTGGGACTACAGGCATGCTCCACCAGGCCCGGCTAATTTTTTCTATATATTTCTAGTTGTCCGATTAATTTCTTTCTATTTTCAGTAGAGACGGAGTCTCGCTCTTGCTCAGGCTGGTTTCGAACTCCTGAGCTCAAACAATCCGCCCGCCTCGGCCTCCCAGAGAGCTAGGATTACAGGCATGAGCCACCGCGCCCGGCCCAATAGTTGTTTCTTATTTTTTGTCCAAAGTATTAATATATAATTGTTATCTATGAGGGTTAGTTCAACCAAACTGTTCCACCAAAAATGGAAGCGAGAACTCCCCTACCCCTCAGTTTGAACAATGTATTTGAACTTGTATTTTTTCCTCAACACTTACAGCTGACAGGTATGTATACCCCACCTCAAAATAAGTGTCAACAATGTTGGCAAGCTTTCATTTCTCTCCCTGCTCCCATGTAAACTGTATCTCAAGTTGAGAATTCATTTGGGGTTTTAGTTGTAGGTTTTTGGCCTTTATTTTGGAATACTATTTTGTCTATAAATAGGATTATATGTTCAAAATAATTTTCACTCAGAAATCTGAATGTATTCCATTTCCTTCCAGCTTACAGGTATTAACAGTGGAAAGCCTGTTACCAATATGTTTTGGGGGAAGGGGCCATAATGTGTATGTATTAAAATTTTTAATTTTACATACAGAAAAAATGCCTTTGTTTTTTGGTATACTGTTCTAAGAGTTCTTAGGCATGATACCAAAAGCTCTATCCATAAAAGAAAAAAAAAGATAAACTGGACTTAATCAAAATTAAAGGTTTTTGCTTTGCAAAATACATTGGTAAGGCCACCCAGCTGATCTCAAGAGCCCTTAAACAGAACTACGTGGAAGCAGTGGCTGGAAGGAGATGGGCTTATGTAAGAGGAGAGGATTGATTTTGGTCTTGAAAGAACCATTCTGGTTAACATTCATAATGTGGTAGAAACAACTCAGATTGAGATCATGCAGATTTGGTTTTAGAATCTGGCCCTCACTCTCACTAGCTCTGTAATCTTGGTAAATTGGAACAACATAGAGTATGAATAAATGAATCATCTCTCTGTCATATTTCCTTATTTATAAAATAAAGATGATGTTATCTTTCCTATCTACACTTCTGGGTGCTTTTCTGAGGGTATGTCAAATCACCTTGAAGAACGTAACACTAATATGAGGGACTGTTTAGTATTTCCACTTGCCCCTCTGTGCTGAGTAGATGATCCATTAACATTGTGTGGAAAGATGATTTAAGCATTATCAACTTTATATTTATATAGCAAATAAATAAGGAATCATTTTATTGTTATATTAATAGTGGACTACTGAAAACTGTCAATAGCCAAAAGAAGGGTTGAGTTTTGTAAATGGAAGGGTGTGGGGAAAATAGGGATGGAAAGGTGGGGGGTCAGAGAGAAGTATCTGCAATATAATCTAAAAGATTAATATCTACTTTACATTCCTTTTTTTTGTCTCTACCCTGAGAGACCCTATCACTTTCATAAATGTGGAATAGTTACTGCATTCATTTTAGTGTGCCGGGAAGTAGGAAAAAGCTCAGGCCGACCCAGCTGCAACTGAACTGATGGGAAAAGAAGTCTATGTGGAGCCTATGTTCTTTAACCATGTAGAATTTATTGAAAAAAAAAAAAAATCAGGGATTTTGAGAAATGGAGTTGAAGCAGGGAAGACAGAGGACAGAGAAGAATGGATAGTAGGGCATGAATAGGAGAGAAAAGATAAGATGTTTGAATATCCTGTCTGATGCTAAGGCAGATGTGATTAGTTGTTGACTGAAGAATAAACTAAATATAAATTGAGCCATGTAGATTGATGGAGCCTTTTTGCTGCCTAAGTCAGAACAAGAAGTGAGGGCACAGGCTTCTAAATCTTGTTGCAGAAAGGTTGATTCCGGCAGCATATAATTTGCATCCTGGTTCCATGGGAGAAGAGGTTCATAGATGGGCACATGTTCTCACACCCCTGAACCATGAATTGGAGTTTTCCACCTGAAAGGAGCAGAGACAAACTATGTAAGAAGAAAGCTTCCTACTCCAACCGTAGCTTTTATCCATGGTCTGCAGTGTCCCCATGCAGGGATGGCCAAGGCCTCTACTTGTATATCCTTTCTCCACCCCTGCCCTTCCCTTCTATTTGCCTCCTCTGGGACCTTGGCCCCCATCAGTTGCCCACTCCTCTCATATCTTCAATCTCTTCCACTCTACTGGCTCCTTTTTTGGTTTACAAACATGCTCAAGTTCTCCCAAACTAAAAAATAGTTTCTCTTGACGATTACTATTCTGTCCCTTCCTTTCCAGAGATCTGGCTATCCTCATCACCTTAACTTCCTTCCCATTCACATCTTGGCCCCTGGCACTCTGAATCATGACCCTACCTGTGCTGAAACTTCCCTCTTACATAGAGGTCTACTCGTCAAATTCTGCAGCCTTTTCTGAGGACTCTTTGACTTCTTTGCATGCATGTGATATTGTTGACTACACCCTCTCTTTTGATACTCTTTTCTCCTGACAAGGTCTTATCTACTACTTGTCTACTCCGGATCCAATTATGTCTGCTCTCCCAAGTTGAATTCTCACATTTCCAACTAACTGACTGTCATCTCCATGCACATTTGCTAAGGACATCTAAAACTTATTATGCCCCAAATGAAATTCATCACCTTCCTCCCCAAACCTGCTTGTTTGCCTGAGTTTCCCTTACATATTTTCTGTACCAACTCCTCAAAACCTCTTTTATCTCTGATTCCTCCCTTTGCCCTTTCCGTTCAATTTGTTATGAAGGTCTGTCAGTTCTACTCATGTAATGTATGTTTTTTTCTGTCACTCCATTTCCATTCATCAGATATTTAAGGGACCCTTACCGTGTGTAAGGAACAATGCTAGACACTGGAGAATACAAAGATTAATTACATCAAGGTCTTTGATGTCAGGAACTGAGAGAGATTATTATTAACATGAGGAGGTAGAAATGCCATGTTATATGCTGTGTTAACAAATAAGTGATTAATTTTGATATTTCGATTGTGGGGGCATAGAATCAAGGAAGATCTGAGGAAGGAAGTGATATTGAACTAAGCTAAAAGAATTAGTAGAATTTGGCTAAGTGCAGAGGGGAAGGAGGATCATTTCAGACTGAAGCATAGCTGGAAAAAAAGCATGAAAACAGGAAACTTTGTTTAGGAAATGGTGCCTTGTATAGCTGGAGTAAATGTAGGATGTAAGCAGGGATGCAGAATGAGTGAAAAAACATGGGAGAGATATGTTAAAGTCTTTTTCTCACCCACTACCCCGTTATTAAGTTCCCATTACATTTTGATTAAAATATTGCAATAGCCCTTTAAAGGTTCTCGTGTCCACTCTAACCTACTTCCAGAGTGATCTATCTTAAGAGATTTGACCAACCTGGATAGAATACTGGCTCTGCCCTTTCCTAATAAGTAATATGTCTTTAGGCAAGCTACTTCACTTTTCTAAAT